CTCTAAATGAAAGCCTCTGCCTGACTCTCCTACCTTGAGTGTTTGCTAAGTTCATTCTTCCACTCCATGAACAAGAACCCCAGCATCATTTTCACACTGAGTATCTTAAGATAAAAAATTAACTTTTGTAATTAACATGTATCGAAAACCTTATAGGGGCATATACCCTTATATGTAGCAATTCAACCACAAGGAATTTTACCTAAAATAAAAACATTTATAAATAATAATATTTATAGCATTATTTCTATATTTATTACTTGAAAAAAACTAAATCTCTCCAATCATTGTTAAAATGTAGTAAAAAAAATCAAAGATAGTCATGTTTTCAACTGTGAAAAGCAGTGTGTACAGTCCAACCAAAAAAATTTAAGTATTAAATTCACATAGGCCTATCATTCAAAACATTGGCAATGGTTTTCCTATAAAACAGAACTACAGAAAGTTTATTTGCTTTGTGTTGTTTCTGGTTATTTCCCAAATGTATTATTTTTTAATCTAAAGAAACATTTAAAACTTATGGAATATTCTCTGAGATCAGTAAACAAAGCTTCTCTATTAGAGTGAAAGGGGTATCTACAGAGCAAAGCTCTGAATGACAGCCATTACATTTTCTATGAACTGATTCAAGGAGAAAACAACCCTCCCACAGGATAAAAAATAAGAATTTTTCTTTATGCCACTGTTAGTACCCTGGTGGTCAGGTATAACAAGGTAGGTATGTGCCAATTCTTCTCCAAGCAGACTGGCGTTCTTTAGAACCCTCTTTCACTTGGAATCCTTTGGCAATGTAATCATGCTGGGCATCTTTTATTTGCCTCTTCAGGTCTGTTCTCCCCTCTTTTGTGCCCTATTCTGAGCCCTGTTGCCTGGCCTAAAGGGGTGGCAAGGGGTGGCATGGAGTGGCTCCCAGGCCTCTGACTTCTCTTTGGGTCTGGCCAATGGGAGCAATAGTGAGAGATCAGAGAGCAGAAGAGATATGGGTATTTATTCCCCCAGCTCCCTCCTGCTCGGGTTGAACGCTTCCCTCTACTGAAGGGCACAGCTCCTATTGGGCTGCCCTCCCCATACCACTCAGCCTTCCTCTGAAGTTCTGAGTCTCCCCAGTAGCCTCTCCTACCCTTGGCCCCTCAGGTCTAGGGCAATGAAAGCTTCTCCCTACTAGCCTCAGAGTGCAGCTGCATCACTTACTGCCTTTCCTAAACCCTGCCCACACCTTTGTAGAGTCTCTAATACACTCTCAAATCATCCAATTTGAGTGTATCCCGATTCTTGACAAGACCCTCATTGCTACCATAATATGTGTAATTATGAAATGAAGAAATGAGGCTAAGTGCATTTATACTCCACAAAGCAAATGGAAGAAAGTGACCTCATGTGGTTTCCTCATATGAGGAATTTAAGTTTGAGATACAAAAGTTTAACCCTATATTAACTATGATACCTAAATCCTTGTGCTTTCCAGTCTTTTTTGCCCCCAACCCCTCAAGACTTGCCCCTCAAGAGCAAGTTACTAACCCTTGTACACCCTGACCACATACAGGACAGCATACTAGAAGAGGCACAGAAGAGAACACTGGCTATCCATTCCTCGTGAGACAAATTGTTTTTGTTACAAATTTAAAGGTAGACATTTTTCTCTTAGGTTCCCCTTGCACTGTTTTTACAGCACACCTTTTCACTTGGCTGTGACTGTGTTTTACTTAGCCCCAAGCTTCAAAAGCTAATCAAGTTGACCGCACCCATATGTTTCTGGTCTGCAGCACAGGAGAGAGGCATGGACTCAACAAGAGTTAATTAACCATTTAAGGACGTGAGAAGCCCACTAAAAGATTCCTCCCAAAAAAGACTGGCAGTGACTATAATGGGGTATATGTGGTGGGGACTCGATGATGGGGGGAGTCTAGTAACCATAACATTGCTCACGTAATTGTAGATTAATGATACCAAAATAAAAAATAAAAATACAAATAAAAAGCAAAGCCAGTCCACAAACTTCCCCCAGTTTCGATAGCTGCTCCTGTACTCAGAGGAGGAAAGACAATTCTGAAAACATAGGGTCTTGTCACTCCGGTTGTGCTTAGCCCAATACCAGTGAAAAGGGGGAAACATGCTCTTTTCACTCAAAACTGCTGTGGGGCCTCCCAAACACAATGCAGAATGGCACTGATGATATGGTAGGAAAGCACAAGAAGTGGAAGAAAGTGATTCTCTCATTTGAGCAGCACAATTCAAGCACTTCAAGTGCACAGTGAATTAGCATTGGGGCCCCTCCAGGAGTGGTAGAGGTCAACAACAGCAACTATGGCAGGTTTCCTGAGTGACAGCACTGCAGGTGCTGATGCTTCTCTCAACTGGCACATCACCAAGGCTCTGAGAGCTTGGCTGGCCCCAATGGTGGGCACAGTGTGATCAGAACAGCAGCAGCTCTCGTGCAAGCCAAAGGCTTCAGATGCTAAGGGAAGGAGCTGCAGGGTCAGCAGGTACGGATGATGCTGATGGCTTTGAGAGTGCAGGAAAGAGCATCCCTGGCAGTGGGCACCAGCAAGAGTAGTCTGCTACCCTCATATTGCTACGAAGAATCCAAAAGCCATAGTTTAAAAGGGACAGGTTCTCTTACATCAGCTGTTTCTTTTTATCCTTGACTAACAGTGAGTTTAGAGTATTAAGTGATCTCTTCAGCCTTCAGTAAAAGATCCTCTGATGACAAACTCTCAGTAAAGGGAAATCCAAGCGGTGGCAGGTCCGAAGTGGCTGATGACAGCACAAGGACAGTGTGGATGCGTGAAGAAAAACGCCATCTCTTTCCCAGCTCTACCAAGGGCTGGGCTTAGATGTCGATGGCACAGAATTCCAACAGCATATTTGAAATATGAAGGCTAAAGTTTGACCTCCCATTTCACTAATTTAATGAATAATATACCCTAAGAAAATAAAGAGCACTGAAAATATAAAAGCATAAAACTTCAAAAACCTTGAAATATCTTGGATTTAATTTTTGTCTCTGTGCTCCCTACAGAGTGGCAAATTTTCTGTTGCCCTAAAGTCATAGAAACCAATGGAAATACAACAAAATGTGTTAAACTATAAACCATATGCTTAGAAGACTCCAGTTTTCTCAACAAAACTTTAAGGAAAAAAAAATCACAAGGAAAATGTTAACTTTTCCAAATTAGCAATAAATGACAAGGCAACCATATGCTCGTATTGAGTAATGGGGTAAAAAAATAAGTTTCTTCTTCTTCTTTGATACTCCCAAAAGTATATCAGTATAGTAATGAGCACCTAGAAAGTTCTCAAGAAGCTGAGCATCAGAACAGGCACAGTAAGTAAGCCACAGCACGGCCATTCACGGGAACTGGCCAGGGACCTAGCTGTCTTCTCCAGACAAAAGCTGGCCCTCTATTTCATGTCATTGTGCTGTCACAGCCCACCCAACAGCTCTGGCATTATTTACTCCTTCCTCTCTCTTTCCCCCATCTTATCCAAGACCTTAGAGAGCTGAGAACACATTGAAGGTCAAAAGAGAGCCTGAGAAAGCCTCTGATGAAGTAAGAAGTTACATTGTTCCTCTGAGCATCTAGAAATGGAAGAGGACAAAAACTTAAGGAATCTCTGTGGAGGTATAAATACCCCAAAATATTATTGAAGTGGACTGAAAAGCCATTTATGACATTTATTTCCCACAAATGCTGATCCATTACAAGGAAGACTGCCACAACATATTGGTGGAGATGAGACTAAGATCACCAGTACAAACGAAGAGTAAGATCTCTGCATGCTAGTCTTTCATTAAAGCAAGCTTCAGTACTTTAAATTGTTCAAACTGTGCCAGATCATAAGATAACTTGATAGGTAGTTCATATTTTAATTACAAGCATCCCAATTTTGGAAAATTGAAATGTAGGCAAGAAGGCTGAAACCATTACTGTATATTTTCGCTGAGGCCATGATACTTTTCATCGTGTTAAGTCAAACTGCAGGAAAAATGCTTTAAGGCAGTTGATGTCTTAGGTAGTCAGCAATTTGCAATTGTATAAATGGAGGTTAAAAGCAGTCAGGTTGTAGAACTCGAGACTCATTTGCCAACTTGAGATGAATTGTATTCTCAATCATTGAAGTGATTTTATACAGCCGAAAACCCACGTATTACAAACCCACCCAAACTTTGATACATGTATTCGATCAATGAATAGGAGCTGAAAGAAATACTTTTCTATAACCAGACAGACTGATCTAAATATACACATATACCTAAGACAACAAGTAAAATAAAAGCCTGTATAGGTGATCTTCAAATATCAGGAAGACAAAGCAGTTTCATCAGTGATGCATTCAGACACACATATATACAATTAAGATAAACCATCCTCTCATTTTTTTTTTTTTATGTGAGCCTTTCACTTAAAGAGTAAAGGTATCTAGATTCTCATTCCATTTAAGTATATTCAAGCAAAGCTCCTGGGAAGGTTTCCAGAGAGTTAGATTGCTTTTATTGGCCATGCATTAAATAAAGCTTTGTCTAACAAAAGTGGAAGAGTAACTGATACTGTATCTGTACATTCACTCTGCACAAGGGTCTTGTAGCTAGAAAGCATTACTCAAAGACAAGCAACAAATCCGATTACAGCTCTGAAGAATCATACTCTCTTCCTCCAGCAATGCTGCCAGCTCACACATTATATGAGGGCCAACCACCTGCTTCCTGAGGAATGTGTAATCTACCTTTTTCATTAGTTCCCCAAAGGTTTTCCTACTTTACACACCTGCCCCACCTTCATTCATTTCACTGTATTCACCTTTCATCTGTAAAGATTTGTTAATGATAAATTTGTGAGGGTTCACTTTAACAATAAAACTCAAAAAAAGAAAAGCCTTCAGCATTCCATTTTATAATGAAACAAAACTCAAATTCTAGAATACTTAACTAGAACTAAAAGCCACAGAACTAAATGCAGCAAAAGATTAATTCCTAGGTACCTGACTTCTTTTCACATTACCTGCTTCAGTGTACTTCAATCCCACTTTTTCTTCAGTGTCTTTTGTCTTTGGAGGTGGCCAGACAGCCTGGAGTCTGCCGGGAGTCCTATCATCTTGCTCTGTGGGGCTGTGGTCAGGCTGTTGAAAAGTGAGTAAAGAAAAGTGTAAGTTAAATGAAATGTGGCCAGAGTCAATTAATCCCTGAAAACAAACATGATAGCTCTACAATTAATTTTAATGGCCAGTTGTACATGCTCTCCTTCACTGTAATTGAAACACCTCACTACAGTACAACCTTTTTCCAGAGACGTAAATTGATCAGTGAGGGGTGAAAATAAGTCAACTACCCAAGGCCAAGTATTATACAACTCTTAATAGGTGATTTTTATTATATAACTATGGGAAAAAAAATCACAGCTCTGACCATATACAAATGAACCACAACAAGTACATTTACAGTAATGTTTACAAATGTGTCCCAACCAATGCCAAGGTTATTTATAATAGAATGACTAGTTTCACATTTTTCATGAACATTAGCTATAGACCAAGATACACTTCTCTAAGCACTCCACATTGCTAATTTCAATTCTTTTTCTTTCATTTAAAAAAAAGTAATGAATGACCTTCATATTCAAGCTATTTTTATAGGGGTTGATTTTTACAACTAAGAGAATGCCATATTGTGTTTAACTATAAACTAAGAATTTTTTTAAAGACTTTGAAGTTTTTAATGTTTTAACTGATCAACTATACAGGAGGGAATGGTAAATTGTATGCCAAGTTGCTATAACCAAGAAATTCTATTCATTGTTCTCATGAACCTTCATTATCTACTGGACAGGTGCTTGTTAGTCTTGATAAATTATCCGAATTTTAATAGTAATAGCTTTCTGTTAATAAGAATGTTACCATGTGCTAACTTCATTTAACCTTTACAACCACCATGATAAGGGTTATTTTCTTCACTTTTTTGGTGAGGAGACTGAGGCTCAGAGATGATCAAGGTCACCCAACCAGCAAATGACAAAGTTAAATATAAAACCCAGATCTCCTTCTAAATCCAGCACTCAAGCAGGATGCCTTGTAGCCAACACAGAACTTTTTAATCATATCACAAACACGTATTTTGCCAAATGGCAGACTTTCAAAGGAAAAATAGTTTTCGCAGAGGTATAATTAAGCGGTAAGGCAATCTGGGCTGTATTTTCATATTGCTTCATCATGTTGCTTAATTTTATAAGATCATTTACTATTAGTGTTTAATCTCAGAACTTTCTACCCTCACATCTTTACATATATTCCTCTTATAACACTCTAGAATGATAAGGAAGAAAGAAAATGCTTTTGTCCAACACCATCCTCCTTACAAGGGCAGGCTGATTATAATCATCTTTACCTAGGAGAGAGTCACTAACAATAAATAATTGGGATTCACTTTGACAGAGTGCCTGAAAAGAAATACAGCACTATCACATTTTATGACATAAACACAAAGCCCAATTCTACATACGCTTTTGCAATCGGAGGGGCCATCCGCTGGCCTTGACTTGGATCGTTCAAACACAGCTCTTAGGGACTCCTTCTCATGCCTCATCTTGCGCTTGAGAGCTTCTAGTTCAGAGGTGTCGGCTGTGGCCCCCTTTTTGGGGGGATGGATAAATAAGGCTTTAAAGGCCTCGAGGGCAGTCTCTGGTGGCTTTGGTTTGACCTCCCTGTCCTGGGCTTGGGCTTCTCCAGAACCACCCTGGCTCTCCTGGGCAGCACCAAAGCCCATCTCTTCTTCTCCGGGCTGCTCAGGGTCTTCTGCCTTTAGTTCTTTGGGCACGTCAATATTGAGCAGCTGGGAGAGCTGCTCCAGGAGAGTAGGAGGGGCCTTCACATCAGTTTTCTCCCCAGTCTTCCCTGTTTGAGGCCCTGCCTGAATTAAGGACTTCTGAACAGGCTGGGTCAATTTCAGCAAAGCCAGGGCCCCATTCTTTGGTTTTATTTCAGTGATGGTCTCCCCTCCCTCAGCTGTAGCTCCCTTCTTCAGCACACGAAGCCCACTAAAAAAAGCTGGAAGCTGGAATGACTTCTCTCCAAGGACTTCTTTTTTAGAAGAGGCATTTTCGGTGGCACTGGCACTCACGTTCTGGTCTAGTACTGCAGGTAGGACAGCGGAACCTTCTTCTCCAGCTTGTCCACGGCTGGCGCTGTGCTCTGTCTGGAGGCTACCATCACCAGGTTCTGGTTTGCTATTTATCTCAGGCGGGGTCCCTTGAGGACCTTCTGCACAGAGCTCAGTATTGCCCCCTTCCCCTGTAATAATATTTCTCTTAGAGTCTCCTGGTTGTTCTTTGGGCTCCTGAGAGGGCTCAAATAAAGCAACACTGGGGGATGCTGGGCCATCGGTGTTGCTTTCCTTTTCTGGCTTCTGGTCACCCTCATCAGAGTCAGAATCACTGGTGGTGGTCACGAGGGTGCCACGAACCAAAATGGCATTGCCTCTGCTCACATCCGAAGCAGGGAGTGGAAGATACTCTTGACCAGGGAGAGAAATCCTTGGCTCTGTTGTTCTCTGACTTCCTTCTGGCTCCGTCTCTGCCACTGGCTCCATCTCCATCACTGGCTCCATCTTCACTCTTGCAATCTTCCCGTCATTTCCAAGGTCAGGTAGAGCCCAGGCCACTGCCTCCTGCCGATCTGAGCCATCGCTGGGACCTTCCAGCCAAGGCATGGGATCCACAACTAAACTGTGGACTGCTTTCAGCACTGCATCTTTGTCTTCAGGCTTCACAGATTCCAATTTACTCGTAAACCCCAATAGGGTTTTCATAGAGAACTTGCTCAGGATCGACTGGGCCATTTCAAGTCCAGCTTCAGGTTTTTGTGGTTCTGAGACATCCCTGCCATTCAGAGGGTTACCAGTGTCCTCCATGTCTCAGCAAAGCCCTGGCAGGAAGCTCTGACTTCTGTTCCTGTCGTCTGCTCTCTCAGTTTATCCACTTCATCGGCTCTTAACTTACAAGGCAGAGAGCAACAGGACCCAGCAGCCAGACTTCTTGGCACCCCCCGGCAGCCACACTGGGTCTCTTTAGGTCACTCGTGCTGCCCTTCCGGTTTGAGCGCTGATGGTGCACCCAGGGCAACTGTAAAAAGTCCGTGGAGATTTTTGCCCAGAAGCAGCTGAGCCTGTGCACCTTCCTACACACGGACTGGGGAGGCTGATCCTCTGGGACTTCCGTATTTATTCCCGTGACAAAAGGCTTTTTGTCGTAGAGAAAGTCAGCCTGCCCCCTGTCATCCCAGCCCAGGACTTCGCCAGCAGCCCCGCCCCAGTGCCTGCCGATCTCCTGGTGGCTTTCAACTTCCTCATTGGTGAGCAAGGGAGGCTCCTGAAAGTGCTGAGCCCGCAAGCTGATCCTGACAGTCCCCAACCACCCCCACGGAGCAACCCCTGCGACTCAAAAGTTAATCTGCAGAAAATGACTGAAATACTTCTTTTGGACCCTTTCTTGCCATCTAAATTACAGTCAGAAGCCCGTGCCATCCAGGCCAAAAAGATTAAGAGCACACACAGATCAACAGCCACTTAGAAAGCCCAAAGCAAGAAAGAAAAATGAAGAAAGAGATGATCTCAAAATGCCCAGAACTCTCAAAAACAGTTAATTCACTGCCCTGAAGCTTTTTTTTTTTTTTTTATGCTTTCTTCCGCTTCCCTGCAGGTTTCATCTGGAATGCAGATTTTAGCTGCTGGGGCTGGAGACGGCAAACCAACAAGACTGGTTTCAGATTACTGCTGTTTTCGCTCTGCCCTAGTGTTTCAGTGCTCTACAAACAGGTACTCAGGCAAGCACGCCCACCACACCCAGTGTCCTCCAGCCTTAGGTGGCAGAGTCAACAGCCCCAGCACAAAGAGAATGATTATCCTGAACACTTTCAGTGCCAAATCCAGGCTTCTGCTCAGCAGCTCTGACTTCCTGGCTTCCTTAGGAGTCCTTGTGGCTGAAGGGCACCCCTCTCTGCTTCAGTGATCCAACCAACTAAATGAAACCTTACATGATACAAGGTAACTAACACACAACCTGCCTTTCAATTCATCAAAGGTCTCTGAGGAACCACATTTCCCTAAAGGGCAAAACATCTGAAAGGTCGTTATCACAGACCCAATTTGCCCAAAACAAAAACAGGACAGACAAACATCACCAAACATCAGCTAAATGTAGTTTCCAACACTCTGATTATATGCTGGGAACTTGGCAGCCAAGGACACGGAAAAGTTGCAGCTCTGTTTCCTAGCTGCATAGCTGCCTCTTGGGACAGCTTCTGGTTGTACCTGAAGGTCTCAATGTTTTTCAAATCCTGTCCAATCAGCAGGTATTTAGTAAGCACCTGGGATGGACAAGGCACTGTGCTGGATCAGGAGAGTCAAACTGACTTAATAGTAAATCATGCCTTAATAGGAATCACTGGCTCTCTTTGAGCAGCGATGCAAGATGAGCCCAAGTGTTAACACTCAAACAGCAATTTATTTTGCAAAATAGGAGCTGTAGCCAATAAGCAAAACAAGTCTTGCATTATCTGCAGCAGCGAATGCTGTGGGTCTCACCCTGATAATTTGAATCATTTCCCAATAAATATTAATAGTGAGAAATTTGATACATTTCTAACCATGTGTTCAAAAGGAACCCTTGCACCTAAAGGGTACATATATCCTATCAACCAATATGGTAAAGTTAAGATAGTACTTTCTAATCCCTTATTTGATCTTCTGTCTAAATGGATACTTTCCTGTTTGCTCCTGATTGTAGTACATTTGGAGATTATTAACCAGGGCACACTTAATCAAAAGGCCACCATGACATGCAGAAAAATTCATTGGTGCCACTTAAGTATAGGAACAAGTTTCAAGTCTAGAGAAAATGCCCATTGATAAAAATCAGACTTCTGCTTCTGCAAGACTGAGGAAAAAGGAATTGTCACACCAGATCATAAGATCAGTCTTCTTAAAAACTACAGAGACCGTCCCATAGATGGGTGAGGGGAGGAGATGTGTCTCATATTTAATGGTTTTCTCTTTTTAACTGAGAGGCTTCATTTCATCAGCCATAAGTAGTTACTGATCTCCATAATAAGTTCCCAAGCATCCTCAGAGC